TCTTTCCTTGTCTTTTCATACTGCTTGCATATCTTTCCTGCAGGTGCTGGTGGCGGCTCTGCTCTCTCCTTATTCCAATTGGGGTGTCGTGGCTACCACGACGGCAAGTCACTGGGCCTGTTCTGGGAGCTGGCGGGGGCTCTGTTCTGCCCCTACTCCAATTGGGGTGACGAGTGTACCACGCCGGCAGGCCACCGGGCCTGATCCGCCGGTCGGTTGCAGGTTTGCCTACCCTGCAGGCGCGGGTGGCGGCTCTACTCTGCCCCTACTCCAAATGGGGTGACGTGTCTGTCGTACCGGCAGGCCACTGGGCCTGTCCTGCTGGTCGGTCGCAGATCTGCCCACCTTTCGGGCACGGGTGGAGGCTCTGCTCTGCCCCTACTCCAATTGGGGTGTCGTGACTACCCCGCCTGCAGGACGCTGGGCCTGTTCCTGGCACGGGCGGCGACTCTGCTCTGTCACTACTCCAATTAGGGTGGTGTTTGTACCACGCCGGCAGGCTCCTGGGCCTGATCCGCCGGTCTGTTGCAGGTCTGCCTACCTTGGAGGCGCGGGCGGCGGATCTGCCCTGCCCCTCCTACCACGCCTGCGGACCCCTGGGCCTGATCTGCATGTTGATCACTGGTCTGCTCACCCTGCGGGCACGGGTGGCGGTTCCGCTCCGCCCCCACTCCAATTGGGGTCACGTGACCACCACACCGGCAGGGCCTGATCCGGGCGTGGGAGAAGGATCTGCTCTGCCCCTACTCCAGTTGGGGTGACGTGTGTACCACACTGGCAGGCCACTGGGCCTGACCCGCCAGGCTGTCACAGGTCTGTTTACCTTGCAAGCGCGAAGGGCGGCTCTGCCCTGCCCCTCCTACCACGCCCATGTACCACTGGGTCGCGGGTCTGCCCACCTTGCGGGTGCGGGTGGCGGCTCCGCTCTGCCCCCTCTCCAATTGGGGTCACGCGGTCACCACGCTGGCGAGCCGCTGGGCCTGCTCCGGGCGCTGGCGGCGGCCCGGCTCCTCCCCTCTGGCTCGAGGACAAATTGAGGAGACTCGGGTGACTGTGCCTCACCCCCCCTACCAGGAGACCAACTGCTTATGTCACCGCTGGTATTGATGAAGTTCTCTCCTCCGCCGCTTTCTGATGACATCAGATCTCTGCCATGTTGGTATCCTATGCGAATGGCAGCATTTCGTTCCCCTTGCCGTGCAACCAAAGCAACGGGTGAGTCCTGACAGGCCCTCAGCAGGACCCGGACCGAGACGCAGTTTCTGCGGGCTCCTAGCCCCGGTCCAGGGAAGTTCCGGGAGCCGGAACTCGGCCGCTCAGTGCTCGGTGTAAGCTCCTATAAGTGTAAGCTCCAAGAAGCAGTCCCCGCGGGCTCAGTTCTGGGAGCCGGAATTCGGCTGCTTAGTGCTTGGTGTATGCTCTGATAGTAGCAGGGTCCAAGAAGCAGCCTCCGCAGGCTCCGCAGCCCTGGGCCAGGGCGGTTCTGGGACGGTTCCGGGAGCCGGAACTCGGCCGCCCCGCGCTCGGTGTTCGCTCCGATAAGATCAGATTCTAAGAAGCACCCAGGCGCTGAACCCTAGCAATCTGTCTGCAAGCCGCAGGCGAATTGCAGCCTGAAATTACCTGTTCTATGGCTGAATGAGCTGCGGTCAGTCGAAAACAGGGAAGGTGACGTCAGTTTACCAACATGGTGGCTGCTGGCCTCCTCTGTGGTCTGACCGGTGTGGAGAACCGAGATGGACCGCTTCCTTCCCCCGTCTCGAACCCAGAATTCAGCCCTGAGTATGGTGCTTGGGCGGCTGGCAGAAACTGCAGCGCTGTAACCCTGCGTCTCTATCCCAGCGCGCTGCAGACTCTAGCCGCGGGGCGATTTGCTGAATAAGCAGTGTTACCCTCCGTGCGACAAACCTCTCGCGTTTGAGTCCCCGTAGCTGATCCTCGTGCGATGGAAATCCTTCCTCCAGGTTCCGGAGCACCCCACTATTGCTGGAAATTCCTAACAAGATATCCTTTAGCTGTCCTGACTTGTCATACTCCCACACAGTGAAGCAGCACACGGGGGCAATGCACTCCCCTCGCCGCCATCTTCCTCTCCCCCCTAAAGTCATCTTATTTTCAAGAAGCAATTTCTAGCCATCAGAAATAGGCTCTCCACTATAGGGGGTATTCAGACAGAGGCTGGGCAGCTGCTGGGATGTTGTAGAGACAGCTTAACATTGGCTGGGCTGTTTCATGCTTTTGGCTCAAATATCTCCTGGGTCTTCTCTGTTCTATGTTTTGTAGAGCTATGAAAAGAGAGTCTTCTACAGACACTGACTTCTTCTACAGACACTGACTTTGTAGACAAGCCAGTGAAGACCAGGCAGATGAAATGACAGTGGGACCAAATTTAAAAATGTGCCTTTTAAGGTGCATATTGTATTTCAGGTACTCATGACACATTATCTAAACCTGCATAGCTGTGTAAAATTCTTATTGCTCATCCCCATTTTTAGACCAAACAAGGTTCAAAGAGATGAGGTACCCTATTGAAGGGTATGCTGGAGACCAAACCTAGGCCTACTTGCTCCTGTGCCCACTGTTCTCCATAAGCTGCTCTCCTGTCCCTAAGTCTCCTGCCCCTGGGAAATGATTTATTTCTACATCTCTCTGCCCAGCTAGTTTATGCAAACTCTTAAGAAGAAGGCCTGTACATTTTTGATATTGGATATTCAGCATTTTGCAGTGTTGGTTGAATGAAATATATGTATGTATAGATGCCCAAAACAATCTGTCTGGCAGCTTTTCCCCCTATTTTTGTAATTTAAATATCCTTCACCCTGAAAAGTCTTTACAGGGTTGTCAACCATACAGAACAAATAAATAGAAGTTAAAAATAGTTTGAAGAACTCAGTGTAAAATGTAATGCTTCCAGTGATTGCTAGCGTCAGTGTCTCTGAAGGTTTTCATCCATTGATTTAGAGTGAGGGTCGCTGCCTCAAGAGTGTACTTGTCTTCAAGAGGTAGGTGTAAAAACTAGCAATGGAGAACCAACAGTGTCTCTTTCTGGTTGACCAGGCAAGTCAGTGGAGGCATGTGTCAGGATCTGCAGGAGCCCCAGGTGTGTGTATGGACAGGAGGTGTCATGTTCTTGAATGAAATGAAAAGAAAGCACTTGCATAATGAGTTGTGTGCTTTTCTTCAGCTCTCTGGGCCTTCATTCTTTGACACCAGGAAGTACCATGTTAATTTGTATTAGGAAGGCAAAGGTGCTCAATGGGGAGAACTAGGAACCCATTCCATGTTTAGGACACCATCACCAGATGGTGTTAAATACATATCATATATAAACTTGTTAATGTGTCTCAGCTGAAGGCTTGTGAGTGGGTTAAAGAAGAGTAAAACATTCCAAAGCAATTTCAAAGAACAACTCAAGTTATTTCCAAATACATACAATAAAGCAACTGTCCTGATGAGGAGGGAGCCAGTCCTCACTATGGCCAGAGTAGATACAAATGACTCACAGGGAAGTCATTTTCTTCCCTTATTCATAGTAGGGAAGAAAATGACTACTACCCATCTGGGGCTGGAAAGTCTTCACATGCTTCCTTTCTCCAGAATAGAAAAGCTGGTGAGGTTTGTTCCTTTTTATACAACAACTACCACTCCTGCTACAGAAGCAAATGTTAAGGTTGAAGTTGCAAATGATCACAGTTCTAAATTACCAGGTTTGTCTACAGAAAAATTTGCTATTGTAACCCTCCTGATTTTCCAAGATTGGATTAAATAACTTAATGGCTTCAGGCAAAAATGATCTACCTCTTGTATGACATTGATGTTTTCACAACAAAATAATCTAGTGTTCTCTGGAAGCCTTCCATGACTCAGTAGGTGCCTGAACCTGTAATTCTAAACTTTTGTCCTTGAGACTCATTGCATTGTTATGTTGGTTTAATGCCCACCCCCATTCACTTTCATTTAGTTTTAGGGTTTTTGTTTTTTGAGATAGGGTCCCATTTTCTTGCTCAGGTTGGTCTTGAATTTGTGGACTCAAGTGATGCTCTTGCATTAGCTTCCCAAGTACCTGGGGTAATCACTGAAGGAGAGGAGTGGAGTGCAGCAGCTTTTAATTTCAGTCTTCCCATCTGGCAGATGAGATATGGCCTGGATTCCGTGCACTGAGTTGGATGGACCTTGTGTGTATTCATTATTCACAGCCTCGCTGTCAGCCCAGCCACATTGCAACTCCTCTCTTCTAGTGGCTTCTCTCTTACCTCGAAGTGTGAGTCCTGTGTTACTCATGGACATCTGGCATGTCTACAATGCAGTATCTTGTTTTCCCTTTACATAAAAATCCAAGACACAAGCTTGTTTAACTATATTTACTCCCTGTAATTCTAAACTTCTGTCCTTGAGACTTATTGCATCGTTATATTGGTTTAATGCCCTCTCCCGTTCACGTTCATTTAGTTTTAGGGTTTTTTAATGTTTATTATTGTTATTTTTAAAAGTTCTTTGAGATAAGGTCTCATTTTCTTGCCCAGTTTGCTCTTGAATTTGTGGACTCAAGTGATGCTCCCACAATAGCCTCCCAAGTACCTGGGACTACAGGTGTGTGCCACCATGCTCAGCTTAGTTTTATTTTTTGTTTGTTCTATAAAGCAAATATTTTATTTTGATATAATTTTAGACTCACATATATCTGAAGGAAATAATACCCTTCATGTAGTTTTCCCAATAGTAAGATTTTGCAAAACTACAGTTCAATATCAAAACCAGGAAATTGGGTTTAATGCTTTTTATCTACTCTAATAAGCACTAAGGATTTTTAAAATTCAGAGTTTAGGAATTACACTAACATTATAAAATTTTTAAGATTTCTAATCAGTTTAATCAGGTAGTAGGGAAAGGTCCAAACTAGAAGAAGAAAAATGTCCTCTTAAAAACAAAATATTTCTACAGGCTTCCCACTCTGTAATCTGTAAAACATGGATCAGAGGCAAAAAAAAAAAAAAAAGCAGTTTACAATGCATAATGATATGTCTTTATTTCATCAACAGAAATGGTGTCTAGACAAAATTCAGTTAACACTAGCAATTCAACTGAGTGAATTTTTTTTTGCACAATAGTGTATTTACAATGAGTAAATGAAGTTTCAATTCATTAGTTCTTAGCAATGTTTTCCCCAAAAAGGTAAAAATTCTTAGTTACAGATAATAAGCATCAACCGCCATTTCATCTTTACAATAAGGAAAACCACAAGAAAAACCACAATCACTTAGAAAACAAAAATAAGGACAAGCCTAAGAACTAGTACAATAAAATGATGCATTGAATTAAGTTACATTAATCGCATAGAATCTGTGTAAAAAGTATGTAGAAAAACACCTGATGTAACCTGTTACAGTCGTTGACCAGTTATGAGAGGTACAGAGGGTTATACAGGTAGATATGTGTGAAAACTGTCCCTATTGTTCGACCTGGGGGGAAGGGAAGAGGGGCTGCAGCCCCTTGCATACGCTGAGAAGACCCTGTTTTGAATATGGCCTCTGGAGTTTATAAGGCATATATTAGAGGTGCACTTGCATCAGACTGGTTCTGGAACAAATTCTCACAGGCCCTCTTGCCTTGATTGGCTTACTGTGTCTAACAAGCACCCGAAGCTCCCAAATGCATTTGCCATCTTCCTGATAACTCACTAGAAGTGCCATGTTCTTTTGTCAGAGTGTGAATGGACATTCTAGCATTTGCACACACAAAATGCACTGTTCTGCCTCCAGACATGTTTTGGTAGAAGACTTAGCATCAAACATAGGAAAAGCTCTCTTTGTCCAAGTCCCTTCACTCTTTCCTGATATCCATGTCCAATTATCCCCATGGGAGCATTTGGCACTGAATGTGAGTCTACCTGAAATGAATGGTCTTGGTGCACTTCTGCTTCTACCAAGGGCCACTGTTTTATCTGAGGTCAATAAACTGGAATGAAAATGAAAGTCAGAGTTGCTTGTTCATTGCTTAATAGTGAAATGCATACACCATGTCACAACATTAAATCAAAGCTACAAAAGTTGGCCTTTGCAACCAAGTGGGTATTCTTCACAAAATGGCAGCATCATTTTCATACTACGATTAAAATGTACTGATATTCATTTGATATAAATAATTATGACCCAGAGTGGAGTGTAGGAAAATACCATACACTTACTTCTCTTTGCAAGTAATGTTTTTGCACTGTCGGTTGAATAATTTATCCTCAATCTGCCACAAGAAGACTTTTCTATATACAAATACTATTTGCACACGCTATTTGTGTACAAATATATTCTATTCTACAGCATCAGTCTTGGATGCTTGGGTCATTAGATGGCTCGGGCAGTATTAAAACATACACTTTGGACACAAAATGCCTCCATGCACACAGATTTCCTTTATGAATACCAACTTGACACAGGGCATCTCACTGGCAACTGACTTGCCAAAAATTGGACCTACAAGAAGATCCCGAATTTGGGAAGAAACACTAACTCATGATACAATGAATAGCTTTATTCTTTAAAGAAAATCTTGATCTCTAGTCTGTTTTCCATGATTCGAGGACAAAACTTAATTTTTACCCAGATCTTTCCAGATCTGAAGAGTCCTCCTGAACTGTAAGCAATAGTGGAGCAGTTTGAAGTCACTTATAAAACAGCTCCTAGTTTAAATGAGGCATGGTGTATAGAAGCAGTTTGCTATGTTCTATAGAAAGCTTTGCAGGCTTTGACTCATTTTGAGAGGAAAATACTACTCCATTGGATGCAGAGCAGCTTCCTGGGGCAGGACTTTGAGGTTTCTTTAAAGGCTTACGATTTTCAAATCCATGTTTGTTGTTGCTGCTTCTCCTTCTTCTCTCTTCTTTAATGGCAATCATAAACATTAAAAGAGAATATGTAGGTTTTTGCCAGTCCTCTCATGAAAGTCCTGTAGCTTGGTCCCCGAGCTCCTTTTTAAGGAGAAGTGGCAGTTGGCATACTAGTCACTAGCCTTTTTTTTTTTTTTTTTTTTTTACTTCCTTGGAAAAGCTATACAAGGATTAAATCCAAAATTATAGTGCATCTTAAAAAGCAGCATACTTTTAGAAAGACAGTCAATAAATTACTTTGTACAACATACAAAATAACATTTTCTACTGCAGCATCACCTCTGACGCCTGAGTCATCGTTATGGGAACTCGGAAGAGAAGTAGCAGGATGGCCTAGTAAATTTGCTAGCTTTTTCTTTTCTTTTAAAAAGTTTTAAAAACCATTTTTGTTCCAGAATCAGTATGTAATGAAGTTTGATTTTATTCAAGGCACCCCCAGATAACGCAGAGAAACAAAGACATATAGCAAAGCACTCACCTGCCCAAAGCCTGACCAACCTGAATGAAGGGAGGTGGTCTGGAGACACAAATAGGACAAAGATGGATCCCCAGAGAGGACTAGATTTAGGTGGGATGTTAATTAGTCTTGGGGTCACCTGCACTGGCCCTACCACCACAATCCATTCCTATTATCCTGACCATCTGGAAATGCAACCAGGCTGTCACAGAGATCCTCCCAAAGAGCCCACTATTGGAGTGTTCTTTATTTTTGTAAGGAAGAACTCTTAAAAAATACAACTGAATGTTACCTTGTTGTGCAAACATTTATTCTTTGCTGTTCACTTGCTTTTCCTTTTTATAAAAGGCATGAGGTTGACTAAGGGATCCCAGGTAAAGAAGACAGACTGGGTTTTTCAATTCCACTTTGAGGCAATTTGGATTCTGGTCCCCAGCAAGACCTCCCTTTGAACTGAGACAGAAATATTTCTGACAAACAATGATTCAGAATAGCAAAAGACACAGACTATCACATGAACAATTACATAAAATCAGTCACTGTTTGTTGTGGCTAATGAATGAAATAACTTGTTAAAAATACTTCAGAAGTAGAATGACTGTTTTTTTTAACATTTTTTTTTAAAGCCAGTTCCCATGGCAGAGGTTGGGCAGGGGAAGAGGAAGAAAAGTGAGGCAGAGGCTGATGGGAGGGAAATGAAGGTTGAGTTAGGGTGAAGAGAAAAAGAGACCCCTTCCCTCCTGGAAATGGCTGCCACTCAGGTCTGGGCTACTGAACAACAGAAACCTGGGGAAACAGATGGAATGTGGTCAAGACTACCAGTTGCACATGAGTTGTTACCAGGGTAAATCAAGCAAAGAAGCTGGTCTGCACCTGGTTAGTTATGAGCAGAAGACATTCCTTTTTTAAAAAAAGAGGAGAGGTCACTTAAAAAGGCAACGGGAGAGTTAAAAAAAAATACTGTCTGCTGACTCTTGCACCATAACACACACCTGTGAAGTATCACATGATTCACATTGAGTTAAAATTCTAGCTGTCACCAGTTTTCCACAAAGGCAAACCTCCCGGTGAAGCACAGAGCTGTTCTACGAGGCTGAGAAATTCCAACAACTGTAACAAAAGACAGTAGCTCCAACACAGAGCTCTATTAAAATCTGTCTTTGACAAGTTCGTATGTGTACACACACACACACACTCACACACACACACACACACACACACATGGAGAAACGAAAACCCAGAGGCAGGTTTCAAAAGTGGAACTATTTTAAAAGAAAAGCCTTTTTTTTTTTTTTTAAATCCTACTGCATGAACCAACAAATTTCTGGCATTCATACATATTTAAACATTTAGTGCTAATATTTGTACAGAAAAAAGTTAATACTAAAACATATGTTACTATGATTTCACTTTTCGCCTACTAATCATCTACTAATTTCTCCTTTTACATGCAGCTTTAATATTGTCCAAACAATGGCACAAAAAAGAAACAAAGTCAACCATCTATTCCCACTGCCCACCACCCCATTCCCACATCAAACTGTTCTGGACTCTCTTTTACAGCCAGGCTGAAGTGGCCTTCAGGCTGCTTAGTGAGAGGAGATGGGACCACTGGAAGGAGGGAGCTGATTCCTCTTCCTTGGGGCACACCTTCCTGTAAACATGGCCAGGGGCCAGGATGCCCCCAGAGCCAAGGGAAGCTGCTCTCTCTGGGTTGCAAGCCAACCAGTTTTGCAGCAAGAGAAGAAAATGATCATCAGGTGAGGGTAGGGTGTATGTGTGTGTGTGTTTGGGAAGAGGGGCAGGGAGGACTCCTGGTGATGTCTCCTCCAAAGCCTCTGAATGAAGCTGCCTTCAGACAAGAGAATGGCAAAAAGCCTCAGAGTACAACTTAGCATTAGGAGAAGGAAAGGAGAAGAAATGTGTTAGTCCACGTCAGGGATGGATCTCAGGCTCGAGTCTGCCATGTTCTCTCCTACTTTCGGGGAGCTGCCCCTTAAACAGGACCCTCAGGCTGCGACTCAAATTCCCTCAGGGGAGATGTCCTGGGAGGCCAATCCCAGGCAGGAAAGCCGATGGTTGGTCCTTCAAAGGAGAAGGTCCTACTGCATAACACTTCTAAGAGCAAGCTAATGAAGTGCTGAAATGGATGAGCCTACTCCCTGGGAAAGAAAACAGTTCTAGCTTGATTTCTAGGAGACTTTGCCTGCTGAGTTCTGGTGAGAAAGCATAGATTCCTGCTACTTTGATGCAATTTTGAGTGAGATGTCCAAACTCTCTCCCCACCCAGGAATCTGAACATCCAGCATCAACTCTGAAGTCCTTTATCTGCAGTTAAACTTTACTTAGGGAAAGGTGGGGACGAGGTGAAATATAAAAATATTCAAGCAGATTATTGTCTAAACATCCTAGGATGAATTCATTATTTGGCAAGATTGTTTTTCCTACATAATTATCACCTGAGTGCTTTTTAAAATTAGCTAAAATGTTTTACTTTTTAAACTAAAAGCAAAGAATATACAGTATACTTGAGATATACTGAAGTTACAACTTCATTTAAGAAAATAGGTTTGACCCAAGACTCAGTGCAAGTGGCAAAGTTGACCATTACTGTACAGTATCTGCAAGGAAAAACAAAACAAAACAAAACAAAAACGGAGAACAAACCCACGATGCTCACACGACACCACCTGGCGGTGCCCAAACCAAACTAAACAAACAAAATAAGGGTCTAAAATAAAACCTTGAAAAGCTTCCAACATTGAATTTTATCCATAAATAAGCACAAATTGAACTGTGAAGCAAGAAAAACGTTAACAGTTACCAAACTGGTTTTAAGCATCAGAGACAAAAGAAGAGGAATGTTGGAACCTGTTTATAAATGAGAAATGAAGTTTCCAGTTTTGAGAAAATTGAGGCATGCAGGAATTTTGCATATGGATATATATATATATATATACTTTATATATATTATATATAATATGTACAGTATAGCTATAAAATTTTGATGTGTATAGAAGCTGTCTTCAATGAAAAAAATTGAACATTCAGAAGAAATTCCTGAGATAGGGTTTGTGACATGGGCCACTGAGAAAAAAAATCCGTGGTTGGGTCCTCGAGGTGTTGTAGTCTATCCCTGTGAAGACTGAAATTAACCCACAGACAGACAGTGTCGCACTGTTGTCTTTCCTTGCCTGAGCAAGGGGTAGCACCATTGTGAAGGTAACTCTGTCGCTCCTGCTTGAAGAGAGGAGGGAATACTTCAGAACAGTATTGCTGCTAAGACCACTGTAGTGTGCACCAAATTCATTCTTGGTTCTTCAAGACAACAGATGAACAGTGCCATAGGCTGACTGAAGAACACCTGGATGGGAGAGGTGTGAGGACTGGGAGGCAGATCCGAGTCACTAGGTGTAATCTTTTCTGGGCTGTTCATCAGTCGTACACTTGTCAGTCATTTCCTGGCAGAAGTCTACGGTCACTGACTGGCTCCTGGGTTCAAGAGGAGGTCCTCTCTCAGAGAAGGTTCCTGGGTCAGAACCTTCCAACCTCCTCCCAGAGGTACAATTCTCAGAGGCATTGCTGGGGACCCAAGGGGGCCCGGGGGGAGCCGCACCTGGCTCCAAGCAGCAGGGCACACTTTCCCCCACTGCACACTGGGAGGCTGCAAGGTTCTGCTCAACACCCAAGGGAGTGGGGTTAATACTGGAGGCTCCAGGGAGATCCATGGGGATGAGGACAGGGCAATACCGGTGCAGGGCCTGGATCTGCTCGGGACTCTGGATGTCTCGGCAGACTTCCTGGGAGAGGCAGGAGAAGTTGTCTAACAGTTCCCCCATGCATGCTTTCAGTTGATTCCTCTCCGACAACAGTTTTTCTTTCTCACATACCTGGACAATAGAGGAAAAAAGAGAAGGCTTGATCAATTCTGAAACTGAGGGCACAAGACCAACGTTTATTTTTATATACCATACATCATAACACATCTCATGAACAATGAGGTCAGGGTCAGACACTTAAAAATTACACATGTCCAGGGAGCCTGGACACACAGCTTGGCCATGTCTGCTGCCATGGATACGTTCCCTGTGGTGTCTCTTCATGCTTCCTCTCTGAGACCCAGGCAAGAGAACAGCAAAATCACCACCAAACGGAAAACAGCAGGAAGTCAATGCCCCAATTTCCTGGAATTTGAGGTTTGTAGAACATCAACTGGAAAAAGTCTTAGTCCCAAACCTTATAGTTGAAAATCTCCCTCTACTGTATTGGGTTGCCATTTTAAGAGGCAAAAGTTGACCAATTCTAGCTATCTGACATTCTGAAAATGGCAAAGCTATGAAGATAGTTAAAAGCTTATCTGCGGTTACCAGAGTAAGGAATAAATGAATAAGTGGAGCACAGACAATTTTAGGTCAATGAATCTAATCTGTATGATACTATAGGGGTGAGTACTATAGTATGTGTATATATATATGAATATATATATATACACATACATATCTATATATCTCTTTCTATATATAGTCTTTTATATATTTGTCAAAATGCACAGAATGTACAAACCAAGTGTGAACACTAGTGTAAGTAAGGACTTTGGGTGACAAAGATGTGTCCATGTAGATTATAGCAAATGTGCCACTCTGGAGGGCATGTTGGCAGTGGGGAGGCTGTGAGTGTGTAGGATCAGGGGGCAACTGGAAACTCTGAATATCCCATTCTATTTTTTTGTAAAACTAAAACTACCCTGAAGAAGTAAGTCTACTTAAAAACAAATAAAATCAACCATCAGCAATTTCATGTGGTTCAACCTACACCTGCAGGCTCTTTGGCCTTTGTATCACAGCAGACAGAATACAACAGTTCCCTTTTTGGGACCCTGGACGCAGGACAGGAAGATAGAAACGTGGAGCCTGAGTCCTGACATACTAGCCCACGATTCTGAGATGCTTTCCCCCTTAAGTCAAATCCCACATACGGCGCTTCTGTTACTAAAATTTATCACCTCCTCTGAGAGATGAGTGTAGCACCAGAGAGGAGACTAATTAAGGTTTTACCATCGGTGTTTATGCGAGGTCCATGCGTTGCATATAATGAAGTGGATGAGGAAACCAGGCGCCTGAGGCAGTGTGAAGGGATTCCTGGCCAGCCCTCTGCTGGTGCGGGTGGGAAGGGCAAGGGAGGAAGGGAGGGAAATGAAGAGGAGGGAGAGAGGAGCAGACATCGCATGCACAAGGAGCAAGTCTCCGATGTGGTAGCTGCACGTGCTGTAACACGAATACAATCTGGCAGGCAGCGTGGGCATGTGTGTCGGAGAGAGAGATTTACATGGGGAAAGGGCACCTGCTAAAATATTTATAAATTTATCAAGAAAACATGTTTTAAAAATGAAAAATAAACAGATGTACAAGTGCGACTCGAGAGAAATACATTATGCGAGTTTGCACAAGCGGAGTGGCGGGTGTGTGGGAGACGGTGTGGGTGTGGGAAGTGAGTGTGGGGCCTGCTGTGGATTGTGCAGGGTGAGAGGGGTGGGGATGGAAGCTGTCCTTCCTGCCCAGGCCATCTCTGTCACGGGATCAGGCAAATGAGTGGAGCACCTGTTTAGCTGATAAGAAATAAATCAACAAGGGAGGTCTTTTGGGAAGAGAGTCTTGCATGCATGATGGATCACCTGGACCCCTCTCCTTTGAACCTAGAAACCTGCAAAGGAAGGGGCAGCAACTCCCAGCCACCAGGAAAGGAATCTCAGTCTCAATTCTGCCACAGCAGCTTGGCTAAGGCACACACCACTTGTGAAAAATGTCTGGGCCACTTTCTAGGGGAAAGAAAATGAGGTGCCCCTTGTGAGAGTTTTGGCTCTGCAGGAAAGGCAGCATGAGTCACGCCTTGGGTAAAAACAAAGTTCAAAATCACAGATACAGATTGATGAGCGTGTGGCACTCTTAGCACTGGAACACAGCATAGTATTTAAGTGGTCGCCAAAAAGTGGTGCAGAACTAGGAATTCTTAGTTTTTCCACCGAACAATACCAGCAAAGGTAGATATCTGCCTATATAGTTTCTATCTTTAGATATCTGCTATATAGTTTCTCAGATTTTGTTATTTGTTCAGTATTACACAATTATAACAGCAGAATGTTATTAAAATCTTTTTCTCTACTACCTGAAGAGAGGGGCAGAGCAAGAATTACTATAGAGATGTGACCCTGTAGACTTGTACCTGGTTGTCTTGGTGATCTAAGCCCACCAGGCTTTCAGAAGATCCACAATCACCAGCAGGAACATCCTGCTTCCTTATGTGGTTTAAGTTATGTTCTGTATTAAAACATTGAGGGCTGGGGACATAACTCAGTGGTAAAGCTCTTGCCTAGCGTATTCAAGGCACTGGGTTTGAGTCCTAGCACTGTAAAGAACAAAACAACCTCCTGCCCCCGCCCCCCCCCACACACAAATCAAACAAACAGAAAACACTAAGGAAAAATTTGGAAAACAAAAAAATTTGTAATCTTCTGGCCTAAATTGTCACAACTTCCAGTAAGTTCTTAAAAGCCAACAGTGGGCCAATGCTGGTGATTCAGAGATGATGAAGACACTGTCTTGTCCTTGAGGAACTTACAGTTTAGAGTTGGCGGTGGCGGGGACAGACACATGCACAAATAACCTAAGAATGAACGATAAGCACTAAATCAGAGGGCAGATCAGGGCTCCCAGGGCAAGGCCTCAGTCTAACTGGAGACTCAGCAAAGGCAGACTTCCTGAAGAGTTGACCTGATTCTTAAAGCACAAAGCAGATAATTTGAGAAGGAAGAAGTAGAGGAATGTCCAGGGTAGAGGGGAGTCAGTAGGCATGAATGCAGAAGTATAAAACAGCAGGAGATGTGGGGTAAATATGGACAGTTTGATATCATTAGGGGTTGAATCCTAAGAAGGCAGTGAAAGGAGATGCCAGAGGGACAGTTTAGAAACTGAATCATGGAGAGCAGGGTATGTCTTTAAAAATGTTTCTAAGTTGATGCATATTAATTGTGCATATTTATGGTGTACAATGTGATAATTCAACATATGAATACAATGTGAATGATCAATTCAGGCTAATTAGCCTGAATTTCTCTTTCCTTAACCACTTTTAATTTCTTTTTTTGGGGGAAACTTTGAGCTCCTCTTTTCCAGTTCTTTATAAGATAAATAATAAATTGTTATGAACTATAGTTCTATAGTTGTAAAACATTGCAATTTATTTCTCCAATTGTATTTTGGTACCTGTTATCCAGCCTCCCACTAGGATTGCTCCTTAGCAAGGACTGACCTTACTAAGGAGCTTTGGCTTTACTTTGCAGGTGATGGGATCTACTGACCATGGGCAGATTTTCCCTGTATCATGTCAAAACAAGAACAAAAACAATAGCAAACCCCTGAAGTCCAAGGTTATCTTTTCTTAATTTTTTTTTACAACTTTATTTTATTTATTTATTTTTATGTGGTGCTGAGGACCGAACCCAATGCCTCACATGTGCTAAGCAAACACTATACCACTGAGCTACAGTCCCCCAGGGTTATCTTAATAATAAATTATACAATACTTCCTTGGGCTTTCCCAATATCTCATCATTGCTCACGAGGCAATGAATTTGCTGCAAATAGCCTGAGAACCTAAACTTAGATCTTGACCATATTATGTGGCCTCTCTCTTCTTAAGCTTGACACAATCCAAGGCCAGAATTTGGATATCTTGACCATATTATGTGGCCTCTCTCTTCTTAAGCTTGACACAATCCAAGGCCAGAATTTGGATAGTAGAGAGGTAGAACTGAATAGGTCAAGTTGGTTGTCTTCAAAGCTATAGTCAGAAGCCAGAGGTTGACTATATTTACTTCCTATATCTTGCGGATGCTTACCAAGGAGAAGGGTGGGGACACATAACTCTGAGCATGGAGGAGCCTGGGAGATGGGAATTTGTTTCCTGAGATAAAACATTCTCAGGCACAGGGAAGAGATGGCAGCCACTTTTAGAAGAATTGCAAAATCAAGGACCTGGGGCTGCAAAGGGTGCTAGATCATCTCACTAAGCAACTGCCTCTCTGTAGGTAGATGTCCTATCTCTCACCTATACTCTTCTGCTGGGACGCAGAGAAAGCAGTGGTAAAATAACACCATTTGGGATCAGACATCTAGGTTTTCATCCAAGGAAATTTACCTAATCTTTTGCATCATAGTTTCCTCCTCTATAAATGGGGATAAAATAGTATCTAAGTCATAGTGTAGATTAAATGTGATCATCCACAAAAATAGTTTAGAAGAATACCTAGTCCACTAGTGCATGCAATAAATATCTGCTATTATTACATATCAAATGGAAAATTAAAAAATTCCATATGGATGACTGAAGGGATGACACATGATTCCACACCTACACACCCACACACAATGCAAAATTTCTGTTGAGAAATTTCCTTAAAAATAAATCCAATTCCCAAAAGGGTGCCCCTTCTCTCTATTTCTCCAGTCATCACTGCTACAAATTTACATCAGTCCTGGTCACTTTGGTTACTGAACACAACTGATGGGTCAACTCACCAATTTGCGGATTTCACATTCTAAGTTCTGAATACAGTCCAGTTTCCTCTTGCGGCAGCGCTGAGCTGCGATGCGGTTCTTGCTGCGCCGCCGGACGTCGTGAATGAACTCTAACTGTTCTGAGGTTAGCTTGTGCATCTTAATCATCATCTGGAAATCGTTCCTTGGAAGATCTGTGATTTGATCTACAGGAAAAGGAAGTTTAACCTGAAACCAAGAAAAACAGAGAAAGATTATAGCATCTGGATTTTAATTTTAATTCTGATAGAACATCAGAGAATGGTCACTGCTCTTTTTAGGATCACCAGGCAGTAGGGGAACTACTGAAAGCAAGATGCAATTAATTGTGGCCTCTCTCTTCTTCAGCTTGACACAATCCAAGGCCAGAATTTGGATAGTAGAGAGGTAGAACTGAATAGGTCAAGTTGGTTGCCTTCAAAGCTATAGTCAGAAGCCAGAGGTTGACTGTATTTACTTCCTATATCTTGCGGATGCTTATCAAGGAGAAGGATGGGGACACATAACTCTGTTTTAAATACAAGTAAGATGAAATATTTGGGTAAGCAAACAGAATAAGAACACAAAAGTACAATGTGGTTGTTATTCCTAAAACTTTTGAGGCAAATTACACGGAAATTGTGTCATTTTCTCCCATTGCCATAGTGCTTTTACAAGAGGGACTCAGTATATATCTATATGAAGATAAAAACCTTCAGCCACAGACATATAGCATAACTCAATAAAATGGCAAGTTATAGGGAGGTACTATTGAACAACTTATGCAAAACACTCGAATGAAGAGAATCATTCCTACCTTGAAGATCTGGAAAGATAAAACAATCAGCATGATTCTTAGTCACAACAGCAAAAATGTCAAGCAAGAAATAACTTGGATAGCTCTGCCAATGTAGACTAGGAGTCAGAACTGGGTTTTATTCTTTCTAATCAGACATGAGACAAGGGGGTCTCTCTCAGTCTCAATTTCCACATCTGCAAAATGGGGTATGCTTTTTAGCTGTCCTGTGTTATGCACTGTAACTGTGTGTTAGGTACTTTGGCAGACTGTGTTTTCCAAAAATGGCTATAACATCTCACATTTTCTATTACAACATAATGTTTTCATTCCTCTATCAAGAATGTGAGGCATATTCCTGCCATATCAACAGAATTCACTGGATTTCTGGGGCCAGAAAGGCATGCAGTTTCCCCTTAGCCCTCTTAGACTACTTGTTCTGGAGGAAACCAGCTGCCATGCCATAAGAATGCTCAAGCAGCTCTGTGGACAAGCCCATGTGGAGATGAGCCAACACCTCCAGCCAATAGCCAGCCTCACCTCAATAGTCATGTAAATGGGCTACCAAGAAATGGATTCTCTAGCCCCACTCAAACCTTCAGATGAACACCCACTTCAACCCCATGAGAAATCCTCAGTCAGTATTGCTCATGGGCCACTCCTGAATTCCTGACTCCCAGAAACTCTGAGAGATATTAAAGGATCATTGTATAAACCATTAAATTTGTGGATGACTTATTACACAGCAATATATAATCAATGTAGGTACTTTTGTCCATAAGATTCTTACTTTCAAACTCTTGCCAAGTCAAGGTAAATGAGCATTAGCTAAAGAGAAGATGCTTGAGGGATAGATGTGCTTTCCCTGTATGGTTAAATGCTTGACTCTAATCCTGAGGTGGTTTGAAATATTTTTTTCTTTTCTCTCTCTCTCTTTTTTTTTTTTTGGTGATACTAGGGATTGAACTCAGAGGTGCTTTACCACTGAGCTACACTGCCAGTCCTTTTTATTATATTTTGAGAGTCTTGTTAAATTGCCCAAGCTGGCCTAGAACTTGTGATCTTCCTGCCTTACCCTCATGAGTCACTGAGATTACCAGCATGCACCACTGCAGCTGGCTGGCTGAAATGTTTCTGAGGAAGAGAATAACAAACAATGAAAATGCAAAAATGTAAGAGCCTCTATTGCAGAGGTGAGAATGAACCAAAGTTCTCTGTCTCCAGGGCCTCCTGAGCACCCATGAGGTGAAGAACACAGGCCTACACCTTTGAGCGGTTTGTCACCCTTTCTAAGGCTCTTAATGACAATTCAGTTATTTCTGGTTTAAATTCTGGTCCTGTTTCAGGAACTCCTGGTAAAGAAAGGAAGGCTCCAAACTGCTTGTTCAGGAAACACAATGTTACCAGCTCAGATGGCTGAGTTTTTGCATACATTCGCCTCTGCTTTGGATGGGCCAGCAGATGGCACTACAAACCTACACTTCATTCCCATGCTAGACCTGGGCTATGTAACAGGAACAGCAGCCACATAGGTGATTTTAAATTTTCCAGTAGCCACATTAAAATAAATAGGTGAAATTAATTTTAATAATGTTATTTAGCCCAACAGAGCTGGAATATTTCTGACATGTAATTAATACAGAAATTATAAGAAATCTTTAACATTTAAAAAAAATTCAAACACCCAAAGCATATACATACATATATGTGTATACATTTTATCATTCTAGCACATCACAGCTCAGACTGGCCACCTTTCAGGGGTTCTCTAGCCATGTGCAGGGTGTGACTACTGTGCTGGACAGCACAGCTCTAGAAGACTCAATCTGAGCAGCCAGAAAAACACACGAGCCTGGGTTTCATGAATCAAAATATTTATGGTGAAGGAGTCAAGCCCTCATTACTATTCAGATGCTTTTGTGTTAATGTGGTGTCTTTCAAGGGACTGAGAGTGAAGAAGTGTCTCTAGCCTAAGCTCAAGCCTTTTCTTTGGTTGCATCAGATACTGGCAGATCTGATTTCTGATTCTGGCATCGGTGGTTAGTTAATCCTCATGCACAAAGGCAATCACCCTAAATGATCATTTGACTTCTCTGTAGTTGGGTGCAATTTCTTTGTCAGTTTACTTCCTACCTCTGAGCCAGCTCAATGTGGCATTTACTAAGGGCTCCCAATGGGTGCTCTGATTGGACTTCCACATGGTGAACCATGTCCCATGACACCTGTAAAATTTTGGCCCAAGAAAGCAAAATCGCAGCAGAGCACATTACACTATTCTCAGCTGAGCCCTGCTCCAACTGCTAAAGACAGGCAGCCAGGACAAACAGTTCCTTGTTACAGGCTGGGGAAAGGCCTTTGTCCATGGGGCTGTGTTTACACAAGGCTTATAATGATATGAAAGAATGTTTGATTTCCCTTTTATACCCTTTGGATAACAAACAGACACTCAAATCCCGGACAGTTTCTCTGTAACACAGAGGTCTGTCTGTTGGAGACATGGGATGTTTCGACACAGCAGGGGTTGTGGCATTTTGGGGGCTCCTGGAGTTTCCCCCTCTGGTGACAACAAAGCCATTCTTCTGCTCCAAATTATGTGTACTTGTTTTCAGAAAGAAAACACACCTATAATTCAGGCCACAGCGAAGTCAAAAGGACTTCCAAACCAAGAGCTTCTGTATTTAAAGTCATCTAGACAGTAAACATAAAACACAAGGGAGACAGGACACGGGACTGGCAGGAAAAGGGAAAAATCAACAATCCTAGTTTCAAAGTCCTTGAAGCAAAAGGCCAGATGAATTTCAGCAGGGCTGTTGCAACTCAAGCTGCTTTTTAAAAAGGGTCACAGGAAAAGAAAATAGTCAACTACAGACTTTCTTCCATGTGGGAAAAACAAAACAACAAAAGAAACCCCTCGCTCTTGGGTCTTTTTAGAGATGTTACCCCTGCAGCAAGGAAGAACTTTCACTGATTAGCAGGTGGAGGCCCCTGACTTGTTCCTGGAGGGCCATGGTGGGAGCCTGACTACATCTCTTTATTGCTTTCAGAGTGTTAAGTTGGAGCCAATGGGCATCTTCCCCGGAGACGAGGAGCAGCCATCAGTCCTTTGGTCGCCTGGAGAATATTCTACTCACAGACTCTTGGGTGCCCAGCATTCCCCACTTGGGGGCAGAAAAGTCCAATAATGAATTCCACTGGGGCTTGGAAAGCTGAAACACATGGAGAAGACTGGGGCTGTCCTCTTTTTCTCTGGGAAAATTACTACATCACAAATAAGCCCAACAGGGCTTAACATCTTACTGGCCCTCCACCCACTGATTCTTCCAGGATTTCACTTCTCATCAGTGATTCGGTTTTCATTTATAAGACCTCATGAACAGTGCAGAACAGACAATCTGACAAGATGAAGAGCCCTGCCAACTATCACCAACACCTGTCTGAAGGGCCTCCAATTATATATTGCCAGCCACATGTGGCTCCAGGCAGGCAGGCAACATAAAAGGGGAAATGCATGTGGGATTTGTCAGTGCTGATTCTCCTCAGCCATGAGTCTGCTGCTTTGGTTCTGAGAAGAGCTCAGACACGCAGGAGCAGCCACTGGTCAGCAAGTCAAGGGCCAAAGAGGGCACTACAGGCTGCTGTCACAGTTTGCACAATAAGCTACTGTTGATTTTACCCAGCCCTGGCAAAGTGCTGACTCTTCTCTTCCCTCAGGAACACACAGGAGGAAAGGGATTAGAAATTGGTTTTTAGGATGGTATTTGCTCTATCTCCCCTAAGCAATGTCCAGAGGAGGGTTAAATCTTCCAGGGGCTCCAGCTCTTTAGCAGTCAGCAAAATGGATGGTTCTTGCAGCATGCCCAGGGACCTCTAGCCTAAGGAGCTGACAAAGGGTGGCAGGAGGCTGGGATATCAAGATGGTGCATGAAACCTTAAATGTCCTTCCTTCGTGCTGTCTGCATGGCCGGACAGAGTCCCTGAATAGGGGAGCCTGCAGCCAGACCCGCCCCTCTCCCCCAGTGCCAGTATTCCCTTCTCAACAAACAGCTTGCCAACAACTACCTGGATTCTTTAGCCTAAGTCATTACCCCCTTTCTTTTCATTAAAAAAATTTAAAAACTTACATGAATATAACTTCTTACAGAAAATTTAAATTTGAGACAAAAGGAGAGGAAAAAATTCCCATCCCCAAATGACAACTCTCTTGGATCATGGATTTCTGCATGATATTCATTTGTTTAGCAATTTTTTTTCCATACTGGGGATTGAACCCAGGGGTTCTTTACCACAGGGCTACATCCTTAGTCCTTTTTATTTTGAGATAAGGTCTTGCTAAGCTCCTGAGGCAGGCCTCCAAATCTGTCATCCTCCAGCCTCAGCTTCCCAAGTAGCCTGGATTTCAAGTGTGCACCCCTGT